AAAACTTATTATGGAAAAGCAACAATAACACATGTCTACACAAAAAAAAATCGATGAAAGGTTCATTTAACCAAACCTAGTCTATCATATGTTGTTGGGGTCGCTGAATACGAATCTGAAGCCCGTATTGCTCCATCACGTCTAGATATTTTCCTAACCTCAAAACACACCTCAGATTTTCTCTGTCACGTAAAATCCGAAATGTTTTTTGAGGTTGCAAAAAAATCCAGACGTGATGCAGCAAAACGGACTTTAGATTCGTGTCTGTGTTTGAGCATTAAAAACATCCAATTAATGTGTAGTTCGCCTTACAATTTCTAATTAGGAATCCAATGATTTTCTTTTTATTGCAGCTCAAAAATAAATTGCAAGGCGACGCCTGAAGAAGCCATCGCGAAAACTCTAAAAGCCGAAATTTCTCAGTCACTAAAATTTTAAGGAGATATTTGGAACATTTTGTAGAAAACACACTTCCAATATTACAATTCGTCTATTAAGCCAAAGGTTTACTATTTGGAGCCTACTCGTTGTTGTAGTTGTTATGACTATACTCTGTATTTTTCAAAATCAAAAATAAACGGAAAGAGTTCATGCGTACAAAAGTGTCTAAATATGTGTAGGTGTTTGTTTAGTGTACGAGATTGCTTACATATTTTTACATACACATTAAAAAAATATATCCATAGTAATTTTTACAATGTATGTATGTATGTTCATACATGCCTAAGTACATTCCAATTGATATGCCTACTAAGAATTACCTGTATCAACCTGGGATAACAAAGGATTGGTATGTGATGAAAACATCAAACACAGCAAAGGAATAAAATGCTTTTCAAAGTTTCAACATTTTTATGTTGGAATATAAAATGTCGACAACTACTGAATGAAGCAAGAAAAGCAAGTAAAACATCACACGCTGTACATTGAAAGGATGCCACAAGTGGGTATGCCGCAATAACTTTTCTACTTTCCACAAGATAAAAGAAAAGGAAAAATATCAGCTATTGAATTTAAACGTACACATACATAAGCATTTGTCTCACTTACATGCTCATGTTTGGGTATGTAACATAGTATGTATGTATGTACGAGTATTTGCCGACGCCTATTGCTAGCTATTCTAGCCAACAGTTGTGCCACAGACATGCCGGAAGTGCATTGTCTGTGGCGCCTTCACTTCACTTTTCTTTTTATTCCTCTCAGCGCCACCCGTTTGCCTTCAGCAAAGTCCGGTGCCTCAATGAAATTGAATTCAGCACGAGACGATGGGTTTGGGGGCGTTCATGCGATCGGCTTGTGCGCAAGGGAAATACGAGGGAAAACTTAACGAAACAAGCAATAAGGAAAGTGAGACAAACAAGCTGCAATGCCAGTTTGTTAAATGCAATTTGAACTCAGTCAATATGTTGTGTTACAGGAAATTTGTAGATGCATTTGTAGCTGCAGTTGTAACTGCATTTGTGATTGGGGGAATTACCGGTTCAAAATGGCGTTAGAGGTAAGGCATTTACTAGATATTTCTGCACGCTTATAGAGCTTTTGCTGGATTTATGTTTTTCACTTTACTGCTAAGCAATGTGCATAAATAGTATGTTGTATCGCTGATAAGAAAAAGCACGCAGGGACTCGTTAATATTTATAAAATTTCTTTAAAACGAATTCAATAAAATTTTAGCTTTAATATCACATAAGCAAAAGAGTTTCGAAGCAAAGGTTTTTATTATTCACTCAAATGTCAAATTTTATGTTCTTAACTGCTTCGGAGGATGAATTGTAACGTAAATCAAAATCTCTTATCGGCCACGGGGTTATATATTTATGTTCCGATATAGTAGGTTCCAAGAAATGATTAATATAGGATATATCTCTAATCAAGGGACTAACATTTACGTGCAAACAGACGCAGAGAGTGGTATAGACGGAGAAATATTTTTTGGGCTCTATCTCTTCTTTTTATGGGACTTATAAAAACATGTAAAAGTGAAATTTTCATATTATAAAAAAGGATGGATATTGTTGAATGTCAAAACATCTAGCTTCTTCCTAACTGATATAAAAAGAGATGCATGTTTGGTTCAAATCGATTAAATGGTTTTAGATTTTATAAGAAGTAAACTTAATTTTGGTTCGTAGAATACGGGTCTGTATACAATTTTTCCAGATCAGGTCATTTTGACAAGATATTTTCATTTAAAAGGCCAGTATGCAGCTCGCAAGAAAACGTTCAAGAAAAAATTGCCATTATTTCGTGTGTGTGTCTATGGAATTTTGACATCTGATGCTTCACAGCCTGGTGCCTCACTTTTTACTCAGGAAATAATGCAACGGGCATTTACATATTTATGTTGCAAACATGGGTTGCCTTGTGCTCTTTTTTTAAAAAAAAAAGAAAAAAAAATTTAGAAACCCGTAGTAGAAAGCGTAGCAAATTTCTTAAGTAAGCTGCATACTGACCTTAAGTTTGCATTGCGAAAGAAAAAAATTCAAACTTTAACATGGAAAATGCTAAACAAAAAATAATTAAACTTTCTTTCAGCGAAAGTGTATTTAGATACATATATATTTATGAATTAGCATAGAAATCAATTTTTCAATTAAATTTACTTAACAATATTTTTATTTTTTACGACAGCAAAAACGTAATTAGGCTTTTGTTGTGAATTTTTCGGGTATATGCGAATCTTTAAATTGAAATATTTCAGAAAAAGCGTTTCTGTTTTTGATTCTTATTTTATAATTTTGACTGTGCCTTTCATTAGAACCGCAAACTAAAAAAAGTAAGTACGTCGGGGCCACACTAGAGAAGTTAAACTTACAAGCAGCATTAAGTATGTCAAATTCAGTGGCATTTGTCGTCAAATAAGTGAAAACACATTGTCAAATGGGATCAGAAAGCGGTTTATCGATTGATTTGGATCAGGATAGGTCTTTAGTCGTGTACATGCGCTGCGAAATCGGCTGTCTGTCAGTTTTAGGCCCATAATATCATTGGTAAAGGTATGGACAAAGGAGATAAAGTTGTGTCAAAACATGTCGCCAAATTTTGGTCTCAAAATATGACAGAGAGAAAACCAGTCTTTACGTTACATACATATATATTTTTTCTCATACAATATTTGTACATATATACATATATACATCTCCTTTTGTTTAAGGTCATATTTTTTGTCTTTTTTCTATCTAGATCCCTACCTCTACCCCTGTTCGTTCTAATTACATTTATAAACATATATGTTATTATGTTTTCCTTTATCTTCGTTTTTATCTTTATACTCTATCGATAACAAAATATATTGTAACATCCAATAAAATATCGTTAACAAAACTGATAAAAATATCGATAACAAAACCGAATCGATAAAAATTTCGATAACAAAATCGATAATAATATTGGTAGCAAAATCGACTAGAAAATCGATAGAAATATCGATAACAAAATCGATAAAAATATTTATAACAAAATCAATAAACAACAACACAACAAAGCCGATCACAAAAATCGCTTAGAAATTCGATAAAAATATCGATTACAAAATCTATAAGTAATCGATAACAAAACTGATAAATAATCGAAAAACAAAATCGATAATAAAATCGATAAAAATATCGACAACAAATTCGATAAAAATATCAATAACATAATACATACATAAGTAAAGTATTTAAATTTGCCTTGGACTTCATTTTTGCTCTATCTTTACGCTTCCTTGCTTTTGTTTTTATTTTTACCTTTGCCTTTAACCTTTTCTGTATCTATGTACTTACTCACCTTTACTTTCATTCTTGTTTTAATCTATTTCTAAGTGTTATTCTTTAACCTTTTATTAGCAAATTTTTGTTAAAGTAATACTATATGCATACACTCAAGAAGCACTTGTTTCAGCTCCAACTATTTCCGTTGCACAATTTCCGTGTGCAATTTCCGTTGAATATGCCAATTTACTCCCAACCAACCAACCGCCGCTAAAGAAGTCTCACTTCAAAAAATTAGAGCGTATCGATTTTTATGAAACGAAATTTATAAACCTTCTGTACCGCATAGGGCGAATTAAAAAAATGTATACAACAAAACTTTATAAAACCGTATATAAAAAGTATCTTGAATATTCATATGCATATATGTATAACTACTTATTAGACTTCATTTATTTGTGTATTCTGGTCATTTACTTGAACCATCATTTGAAAATAATACAAGAAATTCCTTTCTTACTTATAACGCAATTTTTATCCGAGTTAAGATATATGATAGATATATTTTCCTGAAAATTTATTAGCTAGGCGATAGGTTGTTTAATATTCATATCAAATAAGCTAAAAATACATGTTTTTTTTTAAATTATCGAATGGCACTGTATATTGAGTATTTGCTGCTTTACTATTGTTGTCTATATGTAGTTGTTTTAATAACTATTTTAAAATATTTTTCTCTTATTCTTTTATTACAGCTTATTTGAGTAAACTCTCAATTGGATCCAGCTGCAAATTCTGTTGAAATTACAAACAAAAGCGAAAGGAAGTCAATGAGGTGAAAAAAAAATCAAAAGCGATGCAAATGCAACAAAACATATCAACAGTGCCACAATAAGCGGAAAATAGGTTAATAGAAGTAAAAAAAAAATAAACAAAGAAAAAAGCACAACAATCAACAATTCTCATTTATGAATTTGTGGATTCAACACTTGTGAATACAAATATACAAACATATCAGAATAGCAGAGCTATAAAGGACTATTATAAGGAAAAAGGCAACTAAAATAATAGCACTTCGATAGTGAATTAAAAAAAATAAAATAAACCAATAAAAAAATAGTATTATTTTACAACAAAGTACAAACAAATGAACACCAATAACTGGAATCAACTGCTAAAGCAACAACAACGACAGCAAATATTTATGTTAAGTTGAGCGCATACAAACGTTACGGCATATACCCATTTATGTGTGGCTATACATACATATATATAATTAAATAAAAAGTTATTCCTTAAATGCAGCGTAGCATAAAGAATAACAGCAACTACAAAGGGGTAAATATTAGCAACAAGCGTAAACATAAAAAAAAACACTACCAACAAAGGGAAATACAACGCAGAAGCAAACAAATTCTAATTGAATGCAAATGAAACGGCAGCAGTCCATACAACAAACTCTTCTAAAGTGGCTACTGAAGTAACAACAACAGAAACTACTCCAAAAACAATAGCAACAAAGCAAACGACATCATAAATGAGAAGTGCGAAAGCGGAAATGTTGCAGCAGCTATAAGGCAGATAATAGCGATAAAACAACGAGAGCTGCAACAAGCAACAAGCAACAAAATTAAAGCAATTGTTGTTACCACTTGAGAAGAACCAACAACAACAGCCGTGAAAATAGCAGCGCAGTGCAATAAATCGACTAGAAGTTTAGCAAATAAAGCGCGCAACCATATCATAATTAACAAAACCGTCTATGGCCACAGGGAAAACAAGACGAAGCAGTGACAACGCCTAGCAGCACAGCAACGATAGAGGTAAAGGTAATAGGAAGTGACTAGGAATAATAACAAGACAACAGAAGGAGGAGCATTAGAGACCACAGCCGAAGAGAGTGGAAGCTAGAAATAGCAGCCTAGGCGAAAAGCTGAGTGTGGCAAAGCAAACGCAACGTAAAGCAACTATTAGCACAAATATTCTTGAAAGCAATAGCAATAATGAAAACAAATGAATAGCAACAACAGGCAAGCAAACAATGGCACATATCGAGCAATTACATCGACGCTTTAGCTGAACGGAGCAAAATACACAGACATAGATTTTCCACTCAGACGCTTACTACGCTCACTCGACTGGTAAAGCGGCCGTTAGAAGAAGGTAGATAAGAGAAGGCGCGAGAGAAGGGAGTCCTTGTAATGCAGCAAACATACATATTTGTGCACAAACAAATGTAATGCTGCTCAGTTAAGCGAGTGGCAGCACATCGAAGGAAAACAAGGAAGAGCGCGCGCGCTAAATCTAATTATCCGCTACAACGACTTCAATAACAAACATTGCATGCAGCAATAAACCACAACAACACAACAGCAGCAACTTCACAAGCAACAACAACAACATATAACGTCAGACTGTATCGGTGGAGCGGCAGCAAGTAAGCAAAATTGCCGCTATTGCTGTCAAGTGGAGAGCAACTAAGTAGTCGATTGTGCAAAGCTTAGCAACAACAAAAACAAGTAGTGGAAACAGCAATAAGCAGCTGCATCAACAACAAAACAAAGACATAAGTAAAAGACAAAACATAAAAATCTTGCGCTCGACTGCACTCAGCGCATCTGGAGCGCGCGCACCCACATACATGCATACACATGAAATACATATACATATGTATGTGTGTACATAAAGGACTATAAGCGCGTTTATGAGCCAAGCCAGTGCGATTAAAATTGTATGCATGTGTGGATAAGTATTTTGTGTTAAGCTTGTGCTATCATCAAGAGTGTATGTACATACATATGTGGCTATTATATTCAACAACAAATTTTCATTGTTCGAAGCGGTTGTTGTTGCTGCTGCTGGTATCATTAATGCAATTTGCTGCAAAGCGGAAATAGTTGACGGAAATTAAACGGCCACTTAAATTCCGGTGTTGCGGTGACGCCATTCAAATCGACGAGGCCCGTAACAACAATAACCAACCATAGTAGTTACAACAAAACCAATTGAAATTATTTCACATACCATCAACGCATGTCAACTGTAAAATGAGTTGAACGTAAGTTAACAACAAAACAAAGACGAAACACGCATATTGAAAGCTTTCATAATCGAGCGTTTTTTGATTATTCGCTGGTACTTGGACATTTCCAAGTGTTATTTGCAAAGCAATATTGGCCACGCATATATAAAAAAAAAAAAAAAAACAATTCATCAAGGTAATCAAATTGAATTCGTATATGAGCAGTGACATGTTAAAGGCATGTGTAAGAGAGAACTGGGTGCAGCTAATTACACTGATACGCGAAAGCTTTTTAGTGGTTTATACTTCGTAAGTGGCAGCGCAAAATTGAGTTTAGTCAAAACCGTAACATATAGGTAGAGTTAAAAACTATTCCAAGTGTACAACGCTCGAAAGCTGCAAAAGCTTTTTTTAAGAAAAGCTCTGAAAGCGATATTTTCTTTCAACTTAGCAGAAACAGAAGAACGTTTTTACAGCGAAAAATATGATTCAACCCGGCCAATACTAGAAAAAGTTTTAATTTCGTGAGCGCCAGAATAAAACCCACGCAAAGTTTTAAAAAGCTCGGACAGCGGATTTCGTTGTGACCATTATTGAAACAAATAAAAGAACCACTCGCTAATATGGACACCTAAAGTTAAGTGTAATAAAGAAAGCTTATATCGCGAATTTAAAGAAGCTCAAATAAGTTTTAGAGCTTTTAAACCAGACAAAAACATTCAAATCAACTGAGGAGACAGGCAAATGTAGTTGTAGATGAACCTGAAAACGCACTCAACAATATAGCCACGTCATAAAATAGTTGGGCCAAATTAACTACTATGAGATACACTTAAAAAATCTGACACTCTTAAAAAAGGTTAAGAAAAAATATTCGTGCAGCTAGGGAAGCTTGCAGGCCTTGTGTCAGAAATGGTCTCCTCAAACGGTGTCTCAGTATCCGCATAACCAAATAAAAACTAGAGTCCCCTAAGTAAAGTAGTGTAAAAGCTTCAATAGCTACCTAAAAGTGGAAAACTTGGAAGCTGTTAGTTAATTCAAAAAAGCTCGAAGCTAAATTAGAAGCGCTTTGCGTAAATACCAAGAAAGAAGAGAAAGCTTAACCTGTGCAGCTTAAAGCTTATTTAAAAGAAGTTAAAGAAACGTGCTTTTACTAATTCAGAACATGCCTAGTGATCGAACAATATGCAATGAGAAAAGGATTTAATTATAAGGCAATTTTACAGCATCCGAAACTTTGTGAAAGCTGCAAAACTACAGAAATCATAAGCCTCACACCCCTTAGAAAAAGCGCAGTTTATTAACCAATGAAAATTTCTCGAATAAATCTGCAAAATAGATAATTAATAACTTGGATGAACCAGTGCTTAATACAAATTCTTGCCAGTAGATACTAAACCTAAGTCCAGCACGCATATCAACGAAAGCACAAACAATCTCAACTAAAGCAACATACTAAGCAAAAAACAAAAAAAAGAACATCAGCTCAGCAACAGTTGATACGCTCCTCTGACGCAAATCACTTACCCTAAACTAGCCTCGTGTCATCCCTCCAGCTACTTTATAAAAAATCAATTTCGCAACGAAAAGTTACCCTTTGCCACGGCTGTTGTTTCGCTGCGCTTTTACTTTTTTTGCTGCAGTAGCCACTTTCTTCCGTTTTGCCATTACTTCGCTTCCCTCGTCAAAAGTTCCGCCCAACTCACCCTACCACTGATGACTGCCGCTAAAAGACGCGCAAGCAGTGGCGCGACAAATCACAACAACAACACCAACAATGATACGGATGAATATCAACAACAAACGCAACATCTCCTCCAACATCCACAACAACAATATCATAGCACACAGCAACGCCATCCATACCTACAGCAACAGCAGCCGTTGCAGTCGCAACAACGTCAGCATCAATATCATTATCAACAACAACAACAACAACAACAGTATTCGCAGCATACGTCGCATTCACAATTTCAATCAGAAAATTATCAGTCACATCATCAACAGCAACAACAACAACACCAGCGACAACAACAATCATCGTTGCGTGATTGTTCGGTGAAATTGCCTTTGGATATTCTGTAAGTACTCGTACTGTTTTCGTCTGCTTTCTTTATTGGCAAGGTTTTTGGCTCGAGGAAATAATACATGGGTTCGGTAGTGGAACTGAAAAATTACGGTTGAGAGCAGTACAAACTGTCAGTATAAATTTATAACAGACAATCAAACATCTCCATACGCCATCCACTAGTCCCTATTTCAGCTTCAAAAGACATTTCGAAACACAGGTGCGAAATCTTATTGACATATTAAAATTGAATGTCAAAGCGACCAAATTTTTAGATTTTTTTGAATGGGCGCTCAATCGACCTCTTAATTGTATGCAGGGTGATCTTGAGCGACGTACCCTTGACGTACCCATGTTGAGCTCCCGATAGGCCATCGCAAGGTATTCCGTTCCCCATATACAATATATCCCAATATGTATATCGAGCAGCTGCTCGCTTTCGGTATAAACAACACCCTGACCACTCACCAAGCCTTGGCAATGTACCCCCGTGTGACACAACCAGAAAAATTGGATCCATCCAACTGCATGACACATCCATAGTTTTTTGGAACTAGGCGGGTACAATGCCATCCGGTGCCGCAGGATCAGAAAAAGTTTATCGCTCAGGCGAGTCGACGTCTGTAGGGCAGGTTATTCAAGGCAGTGCCTTTATCCCCTGATCCCAACTCGGAGGCGTGAAAAGTGGACACTGAGGGGGAGGAGCTTGAGCGAATTCTCACCGCTCATAGTCCAGTTACCCGACTCGTACCTCAAGTATCTCAGAGGCGCGCGACCGATAGCACACGTCAAAATCTTGAGTTAGGTTTATAAGAATTCATTGCTATTGGGTCCCTACTCAGAGCCGCGCTATCTTCTCTCACTGGAGTGTTTAGTCGCCTTTAATAGTCCTGCCGCTACATCTTGCAAAGCTATAGCGAGACATGCCCTTATTGGGTCACGAGTTCAGAGCTGACCAGCGCAACAACAGCAGTTATCTCATTGGCATCTGCTACACCAACTTTACCGCGGCGGGAGTAGGAAAACATTTTCTAAAAATTTTGATGAAGAAGTTTGAAGTTTCGTGAAAATTTGTTGAATTTTTCAAATTTGTGTACAAAATTTCAAATTTAGATTCATATCTGTACGTATGTTTGTACATATGGATAACTATATGTAATTATGCTACAGTTTGAATTCAACGGCTTAGACGATTTAGTAAAAATGTTTTCTGTTATTTCACTTGTATTGTCTTACTTAAATTTAATTTATTATTGGTGTTTACTTCCTTCTCTATATTCTTTACTTTCCTTTTTAATTGTCATATTACAAGTGATAGCTACATACTTTCTTGCTTTAGCAACAAATATCTTAGATTTTCGCAAAGCTAATTTCATTTTCGCGTCAGCTGTCACTTGTTGAGAATGCGTTTATGGTATTTTACTTCAGCCTTTGACCTTCAGCTTTTTGCAATGTTCTGGTTTGTTTATTTTTTGTTCACATACTTGTTATCTTCTTATTATTTTACGCTGTAGCCGCCTTAGCAATTTTGGCATACATACATATATTAAATATATAAAAAACGCAAGCGATGTCCTCTGGCAAAATTGTACATAATCTGCATATAGATACATTAAAAGTCCATAATTCACGTAAATCTAACAACATGTCTAGGTTAATGTCATTATGACAATGTCATGCGGGCCAAAAGTGGTGCTTTTTAAGATTGAAATATTGGCTTAAAAGTGAGCCGATATAATGCAAAGCGCCCAGGGATGGTTTTTAAATACTTGGTGGTCGACTAATAAATAACAGCATCGCACATTTGTATGTGTGAATTTATTATGTGTACATTTTCGAAAAAGCACTAACGGGAATGCTTACCGGAAGCTATCGGAATACAGGTGAATATTTGAATGACAACGCGCCGTTAATGAGTATGTATTTTGCTACTCACTCATTTTCTGCATTAGGTCGAGGCCGCACAATGAGCAAAAAAAAAAAAAAACAGTGAGCGGCTTAAACTCAAAAGATATATCACACTATCACGGACTTCCAAAAAAATTAATATTAGTAGATTTTACATACAAAAAATGATAGAAGTTGCTAGATTTTTTTTTAAGAAACAATGTTAGTTAGTTGCTACTAATTTAGGATAAATCAAGGCAAATTCATAAAAGGTGGTGTGATCGGAGCAGCTGGACTTTTGCCTTGGGGTTTTTAATGTCAAAATTATGTATTTGTGATAATTTTAGCTGTTTTCTCTCAAATATATTTTTAATTGATAAAGCGAGCTCGCTTTCGAGATTAACTCAAAAACAAGTTTGATTCGAATTTTATTCCATTACGGATGCCGTAATTCTGGCACTGTATTAATTTAAAAAGCGGCTCTAACAATTACATATCTTCATTTTAAAATTTTTTTATTAAAATTAGAACGCATTGCATCCGAAAAATATTTACATAAACAGTTGATAGAGACGCTATTTCATTTTTAAATTGGTTATGGTCAGAGTTTCTAAAAAGGGTAAATATAGAGTTAGCGAAAACGACAAAAAATATGATAAAAAAAAATGTTAAAATTTCCTTATGTATGGTTATTGATGAATTTCCGCTAAGCATTAAATGCCCAAAATTTTAATGACAACCTTGGACATTAAGTTCATAAAAATAGCCATTAGTGCGATTCCGGAAACATAGCTAAGTGACATTTTTGGTGAAATGACAACTTTGCGAATAAAATTTTATGTATGAGCTATCGCAACTCCGGATAGAATATGTAAATTTTTTCAAAATGCTTACATAAGTGAAAAAGAAACGTCTTTACCATTAAATACATTGACATAATTTCTTGTAACTTTATTTTTTTTTCAAAGTGTTTATGAATTGTTAGCTACTTGATAGCTTTTGAATAAATCTCTTTATTGAAATTGTTATGAAAAATGTATCTTTACTTTAAAAATTATAATAAAAGTTTGGTCAGATTGCAGTACTTTGTTCCTTATTAATTAGAAGACGTTATTTGCCCAAATATATGAATGGGGATATTTTTTTTTGCCGATTTCAGCATCGATTATTTCTATTTCGATTCGAGTTGATTCAAAGATCGATTCTTTTTTTTTTTATTTCAATATGACATCTCTAATTTGAATATGCTCTAATGTATGCCCCCACATTGTATGTATGTATATGCGTGCGTTTATGTGAAACCCATCTCGCTGCCTTTTTCATTTCAATAAAATTTACATATTTTGCCACGAAATTGTGTGAACGAAGCACGGCGCTGAAGCAGGTTAAAAGTGCTTAGTTGTCATATAAATCGTTGCTGCTTATTGTGCAAACAAACGCATGCAACCTCACGCATACGAGGTAGGTGCATACAAAAATATGTACACAATATAGTGTATGAGGTATTTTACCCGAAATATTCAAAAAAGTTCGACTACCTCACATCGAGCTGAGAACTGGGATAATTATTATTCCATCTGGTGGTAATATACCTTACTTGTCACCGCCCACTACTAAAACTTTTTGGCGTATGTGTTCATGTAATAAAAAAAAAAATCGAACAAAGATGTTTCCTATTAATTTTTAGATGCTCTTTATATTGGTGAATTTTGTTTTTTAATTTGTTTTGATTTTCAACATCTAAGAAAAATTTTTCTGAAATTTGTTATGCTTATAGGAAATAGGTTAATTGTGAAAGCAAATATTTTTTAAACTAGCTTTCTAAATATGAACGAAATCGGACTATAAATACTGGTTAGCCAAATATACCAACTCGTGCGCCATCTATCGGCAACTTTTTTAGTGGAGTTATTCCTTTTCGTGTAGCTTATATACACTCTAAATATGAACCAAATTGGACTATAAATACGGGATTTTCAAATATCTTGACTCCTGCGCCACCTATCGGATTAACTCATCTTTCGTATTGCATTGTCGTCGGGTTCTGAGCCAAGTGTGAAGTCTCAAAAAAAAAAATCGGCAGGCTAATAATTTTCCCAGGTCTCAGCCTGATCCGAGATGTTCAGAATTTTACCCTGAACAAGTTCACATAAAATGCCTCATATATGGTCTATGAGCGCCACTTGCAAAAGCAATAACAACCATATTAACAGCGTCACTGCAAAAACCTACAATGACAGCGGCATTTTAATAACAAAGTAAACAAGCAAAATATTGCGTAAATTACATAAACACAGCAGACGTGAAATTACACAACACTCATACATACGCCACATGCACCTACATATGTACCATACAAGTCGGCCAGCAAAATGTTACTCATACGCCATGTATACGCAACGCGGTTAATTTTCTTTTTATCACATTTTGTTGTTTGAAACGTGCGTAATCCGCGTTACAATTACCCAATTTGCACGGCTGTTGCGCCGATAAGATGCTTGCCTGTCTGCTTGTCTGTTGCTGAATCCCCTGAATGTCTGATATTGTTGGGTATCGGATGGGATGGGAGCTTGGCGCTAACCTTGGCTTATGTATATTTATATTGTAATTTGATTTGTATCAAAAAAAAAAACGTTAATGCAAAATGGGGTACTTAATGCATACATTACATAAATACGTACAGATGCATGAAAATATTGTTGCACACATACGAGTAGAATAAAAATAAAAAATAAAAACATTTATGTATGTAAAAAATTCATTAGACTCTTTAATGTTATTTGCCGCTACCTCCGTCTGGGTTTGCAAAAAAAGTTCACAATTTGCAAATGAAGTTATTTGTGTTTGATAGGTTAACGAGAAAACCTGCAATTTAGACATTTTTAAAAGGGGATCAGCTAACGATTTTATGTATATATTTTGTATGTTTATGTAAGTATTTGTGTAATTTCTTTATAAGTAATCAGCAGCATATATATGTATACGTGTTTATATGTATTGATGTGTTGGCACTTAACTATTCGCCTGTGTGTTTTTCACGATGCTATTAAATATACAATTCATGTGCATTTCACATGCCAGACGGCAGTTAAGTGGAGCAAAAAATGAATAAGGGAAAGAATAAAT